GTGCTTATTGGCTACTTTTCACCAGTTTCTTTTTTGAAGGAGAAAAAAATGGATGGACACATGTGAGAGTAGTCTTACCATCTTCCTTTTCTCCACCCCAGTGTGGAGGAAGGACATCTGCTGGCGGCCAATACATGGCTACACGTAGTGTGCAGTTTCATAGAGATGTGTAGTCTGTCTTCTTATGTGGTCTTACTTCCTCTGCATGCATATTTATCGTCTGTTGCATGAGAACTCCTCCTGACATTCCGGTGTGTTACTGGACTTGAGTGTTTGATGGAGGCCTGGGGTTGAAAGCCAGTGAGGGCTTTCCAGGTCATCCTTACTCGAGTATTTTCAGAATTAAGATGAATTAAGCCCCAGGGTATATACCTCTTCCCTTGTGTGTTTTCTTTCTTTTGTGTTTTAATTCTAGGAGGCTGAAAGCCTTTATGGCCCATGCGTCTGTGTTACTCAGAGAGAATGCTGCTGTGACAGTCTGTGCTGTTAACCAAGTATCCAGTTCCTATATTCTTTCTTTCTTTTTTTTTTTTTTTTGGTCTTTCTGAAAACTCTCCTGGTAGACAGTAGGATGATCTGATACAACTTACCTATATTTTAACAGAGAACAACATAGTAAGTAATACACATGGGGAATTAGTGGCTAACGCTTTAAAAGGACTTCTCATTTGGGGGATCTGACTGTCTAGTTACGCTGACTGAATTTTTCAGTGTGCTCTTGGTGAAATTGTAAGCGCATTCTCATTTTTCTGTTATGTCTCAGGTGTTTGCGGACTCGCACTTTGGAGAGTACCTGCTTATCTGTCATGTCCATAACAGAACTGTGTGTTCCCTCTGTGAGGTGCAGGGTGGCAGTTTCCCCCCTCTGGACGGTTCAGAACAGTGAGCCTTAGCCTAGATTAATATCCATAGCTACATAGTGATTCTAAATCCAGAATAAACTGAGAGTAGGGGAGAGAAGAAAAGGGTCTCTCATGAAAAAAGTGAAACTTTCTCAGTGTGTCTTGCAGGCTTTTAGGAGTTGTCTGTTCTTCCTGCCTTTTTTTCATATAAACTAGACTAAGGAAGAAGGTTGTTGGTGTTTTTTTTTTAAGTTTTATTTTTATGTAAGTAATGTCTACACCCAACATGGGGCTCAAACTCAACAACTGCGAGATCAAGATTGCATGCTCTTCGACTGAGACGGTGAGGTGCCCCAAGGAAAAAGTTGTTTTGCTTTGTTGTTGTTGTTGTTTTTTAATGTTTCTTTATCTTGAGAAAGCAAGTGTGCACATGCCTGAGGGGGAGGAGGAGGAGAGAGAAAGAGAGAGAGAGAGAGAGAGAGAGAGAGAGAGAGAGAGAGTCCCAAGTAGGCTCTGTGCTGCCAGCACAGAACCAAATACAGGGCTTGAACTCACGAGATCATGCCCTCAGCCAAAATCAAGAGTCGGATGCTTACCCAATTGAGCCACCCTCCCAGGTTCCCCGGAAGAAGGTTTTTTAAAATTTATTTTGTTTGCTTATAAAAATCTGTACCTGAAATGACATAATAGGAACTAAGGGAAAAAATTTGGAAAGTGCCATTTATTTCCTTATTCTTCCAGATTTATCTGCCTTTGAAAGTTGAAAACAGTTTTCTTGTTTATCTTTGTGTTTTAATTATTCATGCTGCCCCTTAGTGACTGTGTACTACTCAGAACCGTTATCTGAGATCACTTGTATCCTTGAAGTGTTAGAACCAAAATGAAGAGTACATTCCTTTATCAAGTGAGACTTACAAAGTTAGCAGATCAACTTATAGGTTGTCTATTGAATTTTAGCAAGCTGTTGTTTCCAAAGGGTAGGGTTAGAACCAAAGAAAAATTTTTTGATTGACAATATTCTCATTTAAAAGTTGAGCTGATCCCCAATTGATAAGCATTAAAAAGAAAGGCATTGTGTTTGGATGTGTGGTGGCCATGCTTTCTCCAAGCTCTTAGTTTTTGGTGATATTTGTGCTCACACACACTTAGGAAAGTAAGTGGCAGGCATCATGACACCTCCCCCTAAGTACCTCAGCACGTGTCTCCTGAGAATGAGAAGATTTTTCTGCACAACACATCAACACTGTACCATACTCCAGAACCTTAATTAGCATTATAAGGTAATAATAATCTACTGTATGGTCTTTTCCAGATTTTTCTAATTCTCCCAGAAATGTACTTTTATAATACTTTCGTCTGCCTCATCCAGGGTCCAGCCAAAGACCACACATCACATTTGGTTGTTGTGTCTGTTTAGTCTCCTTTAAGCCAGAGCGGGACCCCTGTCTTTTTTTGGGTGAGGGATCTTTCATAATATTAAGATTTTGAGGAGTCTAGGCCAGTTGCCTCATACAGTATTCCACAACTAATTTTGTCTTTTCTTCTTGATATGTTCTAGGTTAAATACTAGATAGGAGCACTATCTAGGTAGGAACACTACACTTATACTTCCCATTTTATCACATCAGGAGGCACAGTGATACCAGCTCGTGTTATTTTTGGTAGTACACAGTCTGATCTTGATGTAGACCACTTGTGCTAAGGAATATCTGTCAGATCGCTTCACTGGAAAGCCCTTTTCTTTTATGAATAAGTAATCTGGATTCATGCTTTGAGACTGTGTGACTGTCCTACCTTTTAATAACCTTCCACCTGGTTATTGTAATTTGCTTATTGATTTCATTCAGGGTTTTACCAGGGGTCTACCGATGGATGCCTACTGATGAAGCCCAGGAAATTTTTTTGTGTACATATATTTTTCCAGGAATATGATTCATGACTCGCAAAATATTTAAAAGAATCTTTTCTCCCCCTCTGTTTCAGAGGTGGCTTCTACAAGTTCCTATGCATCAGAGAAGTCTGTTATAAGCAGTAGGTTGCTAGAAGCTGGGAACCAACGATGTTCATGTAATTTTATCTAGCCCAGCATCACATACAGCTGGGTACTTAATTTCTGTTGTTGTTAGTCTGAGAATGCTTTGTTCTGGCCTCTCCCTTATCCTGAGCCAAGCATTTGGATCTTTTGTGTTTGGTATAAACTGTACTAGAAAACAGAGCAAAGGGGCTTAGCCCCTGATTTTTGGTGTTCTCTTTCAAGAGTTTTGGGCACAGCTGAATTTGATTTGTGTCTTTGTTGACACTGAAGTATATTTGGGTCAATTGGAAATGAGTTAAAACATTGTGATGTATTATTATTATGTATTGACTTTAGGGAGCTTTAGATCCATTATTAGCCTAATGCAGAATAGCTGTAGAAGTGATTCATTCTTGACTTTTCCTGCTCAGCCAGGAAAGTGGTAGGGAATTAATCATGGCAGGAGCCATTAAGGTGTGTTTTGTTTCATCTGTCGATTAGACTGTTGGTAACACTGGCTTGCCTTGTATTTGAAAAAGTGTCTTGTCACAGTAAGTGTTAATATTGGAAGGTATACTTCTAAAAGTACATATTATACCATTTAATCCAGATGATCACTCTGTGAAAGTTGCTGTTGTTTTTATTCTAATTACACAGGTGGGGGGAAAGGCTTAGAGGAGTTAAAGATAGCTGACATCAAACAGCTCAAACAGCTGACATCAAACAGCTCGGAAGGAGCTCCAGATTCCTTGCTCTTTTGTTTTAGCAGTCTGAAAGGTAGAGGCATTCTAGGAGATTGAAATATGAACAAAGCATGGCCCTTGTTATCAAGGACCTTTTAAATGGAACAAATGTGTCTTCTTGTAAACCTGTTAGAGGCAGCACATCAAGGGAAGAGCTCAGGAAGCACACCGAAATGCAGACACTCCCACGCATAGAGTCAAGATTGGTGTGTATGATGGAGGAAGCATCTGAGAGGGAAGGTCTAAGGAGGAAGAAAGAGAGTGAGCAAAAGCACAAAGATGGGAAAGCACAGGTCCTGTTACGGCTGAGGGGGTGCTCTGGTTTGGCTAGAGTGTGAGCCACGTGAGCCACAGTAAAGAAAGCGGTGGGAGCTGGGCCCGTGAGAGAGAGGTCAGACCGTGAAGGGCCTCGGAGTGCCATGCTAGGGAAGAGCCTCAATCCATAGGTATTTTGAGCAGGAAATGAAATGTGGAACCCTGTAGAGAACCCAGTAATAAGCATGATAAATGCTTACATTTTTAAGTTGAGATTCTGTGCTAATCTCTTCACATAATACATGCAGAGTCTCACTGATGCCTCACAGTAACTCTTAACAGTGCACTCTGTCCCTTTTACAGACGTGAAATTGAGGCTCACTGAGATGAGGTTTGCAGGTGTCAAACATGTCGCTGGAGCTAAGGCTCAGACTGGGGTCTGTGAGCTTCTCAGATCTGTTCTGTTTATCACAGATAAACATATCTGTGATATGTTGTGTGATATGTTGTTTCCTAAAATCAGATCACCTGATACAGTCTTAATCCTGTCAAGAATATGGCTACACGGTTTTAAAAAAATTTTTAAAAGCGGGGGATCGCCTGGGTGGCTCAGTCGGTTAAGGGTCCGACCTCGGCTCAGGTCATGCTCTCACGGTTCGTGGGTTCGAGCCCCACATTGGGCTCTGTGCTGACCGCTAGCTCAGAGGCTGGAGCCTAGTTTAGATTCTGTATCTCCCTCTCTCTCTGACCCTCTCCTGCTCACGTTGTCTTTCTCTCTCTCAGAAATAAAACATTAAAAAAAAAAAAAGAATATGGCTATAGGAAAAAGACCTTTTCAGAGTTCTGAAAGTCCTGTTTTCAGTGTGTAATCATACTAAGGAATGTAATCACTACCAAGCTGGATCTGTACCGCTCTCTAATTTTGGGACCCACGCTGCATGGGAAACTGAAGAATTGGATGATGTTTTATTTACATGCTTCATGATATTAACACATGCCCGTGGCAAATGTTTTTGTGTTCATTTTCACTGTTTAACCTTATTGGCCCTAAGTAAATCTTACATCAGGGAGAGCCCAGGTCCTAGGGGCATTTTCAGATGTGTAAAGCAGTGATATTTTTCCTAGCTAAAATACCTTTCTTTTCAGCAGGTCTTCTACTTCTAAAGGACCATGACTACTGATGAAGGCACCAAGAACAATGGAGAAAGCCCGGCAGCAGCTGTTGCTGAACGTGGAGAGGACATTACCTCTAAAAAAGATAGAGGAGTATTAAAGGTGAGGTTACAAGGATGAATGACATGTTAGGGAAATTTGCTATCTGGAAGGATTATTTATAAAAATGTTGGTGTTTTTGGCCAGAGGTAGAGGTGAACAGTGTTCACTGAGGCTTTCTAAGTGCCTCTCATTTCATCTTCATGACTTGAGGTTTATTTTTTTAATTAAAAAATTTTTTTTAATGTTTATTTTTTTCCTTTCCTTTAAAAATATTTTTTTTAATGTTTTATTTATTTCTGAGAGAGAGAGAGAGACAGCATGAGCAGGGAAGGGTCAGAGAGAGAGGGAGACACAGAATCTGAAGCAGGCTACATGCTCTGTGCTGTTAGCACAGCCCTACGCAGGGCTCAAACCCACGAACTGTGAGATCATGATCTGAGCCGAAGTCAAACACTTAACTGACTGAGTCACCCAGGTGCCCCTTAATGTTTATTTTTGAGAGAGAGAGAGAGCACGCACAAGCTGTGGAGGGGCAGAGAGAGAGAGAGATAGAGGATCTGAAGCAAGCTCCACTCTGTCAGCCCAGAGCCTAATGCAAGGCTCAAACCCACAAACTGTGAAATCCTGACCAGAGCCGACAAAGCCACCCAGGCGCCCTGAGGTTTATTTTTAATCCCAGATTGTAGATGGTAAAATTGAGGCCCAGCTGGGTGAATTAATTTGCCCAATATCCTATATCATAGGAAATGCAGATCTGGGGGCCAGATCCAAATTATGTGTGACTCTAAAAGGCTGTGTCTCCCAGTCCTCAGCATGTATGCATGGATTGTCATTTTAACATAATATTTAAGGACATGAAACTAGCTAATGACAATTCAGAAGACTTCCTAAAGGAAAAAGAAAAGCCAACTTACAGAGTTCAAAAGGATTTGTTTTTACATACAAATTCTTGTTTGTGCAGTGAAGATACTTTTTGAGGTTTTATCCAAGACTATATCTTACTTTGGAATTAGCTTTCCTCATTAAAACATACTATAGGGGCACCTGGGCGGCTCAGTCAGTTGAGCACCCGACTCTTGATTTCAGCTCAGGTCATGATCCCAGGGTTGTGGGATTGAGGCCAGTTTGGGGCTTCTGCCAGGTGTGGAGCCTGCTTTGTTTTCTTTCTCTCTCTCTGCCCCTCTCCCCTGCTCACACAGTCTCTCTCTCTAAAAAAAAGTGAAACCTCATACTGTGTATGTTTTTCACTGTGTAATTAGTCATCTCTACGTGTGTATGTGTATTTTTAATGTTTATTTATTTTTGAGAGAGAGAGAGAGAGAGAGCATGAGTAGGGGAGGGGCAGAGAGAGAGGGAGACACAGAATCTGAAGCAGCCTCCAGGCTCTGAGCTGTCAGCACAGAGCCTGATGCGGGGCTTTAACTCAAACCTTGAGATCATGACCTGAGCCGAAGTCAGACACTTAACTGACTGAGCCACCCAGGCACCCCCATGTGTTTTTTTTTTCATTTGTATCTCACAATGATCTTGTAAGATGAACAGAGCACGTGTCGATCTTTCCATTTTATTGATGGAAGATGTGTATTTGTATTCCATAGAAATGAACAAACTGTAGCTGAGAGAGGGTTAAATGCTTTTAGTCGTATTAAGTCGTTCTCCTATGCTGCTGTTACATGGACGAGTTTTATGTAGTAAATTATTGTTTCCTGAAAAGACGATCTCACACATTCTAAATATCACCACTAAACTGAGTTTTAATCTCACTAAACTGAGTTTTAATCTCTCTATCAGCAGTAGTAAATGAGAATTTCTTTAGTTTGTTTTGTCTGACCTTGCTTATGTGAAAGCTTTTTTACTGTGCCTGAATCTTCTGAATGTATTCGTTTTACCATTAGCTTGCTACAGGCTCAGCCAAATTTTGGAAGACTTTCAGCTCTAGAAATAAGGGCTTTATGCCATAGATTTATATCATGCTCTCATTTTTCAGAGGGCTTCTCAGTCTGTAACTGTATGAATTCCTCATCCCAAACTCCCAAGAAACTTCTACAGACAGTAGAAGTGGTGCAGGCGGTCCACGACATCTCTTTGCTCTATTTAAGTCCTTCTCTTTCATCTTTTCAGTGCACCCACCCATGCAGAGAACAAGGTCCCCAGCCTGCCTCCAGCCCTGCTTTGTTCCAGGGAGTAAATCTAATAAGATGTTTAGGCTTGTAAGAAGCATTTTGAGATTGTAAGCCCTTTAAATCATATCATTTATCATTGTCTACAGCCTTAGGTTTCACCATGGGGCTTTTGGTTAAGATTAAGTAGTCTACTAACTGTGTGACATAGGGTAGTTTAGTTAACCTCTCTGTGATAAAATTTCCTCATTGTAAATTTGGAATTCTACTGCCTACCTCATAGAGTTATTGGGATTATATAAAGCATTTAGCACAGTGCCTCATCTATAGTAACCTTGTTTATTCTCTGTTACTTACATGATTTTTTTTAAAAGGCCAAGGCATGTCTGGGAAGTCAGTGACTAGCTCAGGAAAATTACACTGTGGAGCTTACATGTTTAAAATGAATCAAGACTAAAATTCATTCCTTAATGCAACTGCTTAAGGCAGCTCCTCACATCTTCCCATTTCCTTCCCCCACCCCTGCCCCCCGGAGCCCCTCACAACTAACATTTTACTCTCTGTTGTTGTGAGTTCAGCTTTTTTAGAATCACATATAAGTGAGATCACACAGTATTTGTCTTTCTGTGTCAGTTAGCATAATGCTCTCAGGGTTCATCCATGTTGTCATAAATGGCAAGATTGTATTCTTTTTTGTGGCTGGATGAAAATTCCACTGTATGTATATGTGCCATATTTCTTTGATCAGTTCATCTGCCTGTGGGTCCTTGGCTGGGTCCATGGCTTACCTGTTGTGTATATTGCTGCCCTGAACATGGGGGTGCATAGATCTTTCCGAGCTAGTGTTTTCATTTTCTTCGGATAAATCCCCAGAGGTAGAATTGCTGGATCATATGGTCATTCTATTTTTATTTTATTGAGGAAACTTCACACTATTTTCCACCATGGCAGCACCAGTTTACCTTCCCACCAACAGTGAGAAGTGTGAAGGTTTCCTTTTCTCCACGTCCTCGCCAGCAGTTGTTAATTTCTTGTCTTACTCATCATAGCCATTCTAAAAGGTGAGGTGAAATCTTGTGGGTTTGATTTGCATTTATTTGGTTTTCCACTCTTTCCCTCTTTTTAAAAAAAATTTTTTTTTAATGTTTTATTTATTTCTGAGAGAGAGAGAGAGACAGCATGAGCAGGGAAGGGTCAGAGAGAGAGGGAGATACAGAATCCGAAGCGGGCTTCAGGCTCTGAGCTAGCTGTCAGCACAGAGCCCAAAGCGGGGCTCGAACCCACGAGCCGTGAGATCATGACCTGAGCCGAAGTCAGACACTCAACCAACTGAGCCACCAAGGCACCTCTCCATTATTTCCTTCTTACAAGTGTATAGAAACACAGCTGATTTCTGTGTGTTGATTTTGAATCCTCCCACTCTACTGAATTCATTGATTAGTTCTAACAGTTTAATTAGTTCTCACAGTTCTAATTAGTTTTTGGTGGAGTTGCAATAATGATTCTTCATCTTTATTTTTTATTCTTTTGAGAGAGAGGAGAGGTGAAGATGAATCTCAAGCAGGTTCCTCGTTTAGCATGGAGCCCAACATCAGGCTCAATCTCATGACCCTGAGATCATAACCTGAGCTCAAATCAAGAGTCGGATGCTTAGAGGACTGAGCCACCCAGGCTCCTCTGATTCTTTTCTTTTAAACAATGTCTGGACTTTTGAACTAAGAAAGTAGTAGAATATAAGTGTACGGTGTTTATGTGGTGATAAAGAGGATGGGGCTGGTAGTACACAACTTAAGGAACTTAGGAGCAAATGATTGAATTCTTTATATAAAACTTCAGACTCTTCCCCTAAAAGATGGTTGTTGGACACGAGCTACTGTCCTCTGTTAACTAAGAAAGATGATTAATTTGGCATAGGTGATTGACAAAATAAATTATACCACTACACGCCTGGATTTGATTTTCTTTTCCCAGAACTGACCAACTGCATTAATGACCTACTCTGCCAAGAACCAAATAAGTATACTGGATTTTATGACAGCTAAACATTTCTCAGCCTGGAGCTTTTTTGGCATTTGCTTTACTACAAAACAAGTTTTTCAGTATTGTATCAAACGATGCAGTGATATTGGGTTTTTTGCAAATGGAATAGTGTGCATATAATAGGAAGTGTAACCTGTTGTACCTGGAAGTTGAGCTTTTTGGAAGTAAACCAAACTAGCAGAATCTAGTCAAAAGGTAATGTTTTTAGCAAAGGAGGGAAGTAAATAAAATCTCACCTTTGAAACTTTGTTTTAGACTTCTTTTTGAAGGTTTTTGAAAGTCCACTAGTCTTTTTGTTTTGATTCAGTTTATATGTGAACTGGTTCTATGTCTTGAGAGAGTTTAGTGTCAAAGCATGAAGCACAGGATCTGTTGGTTATATTACGTTATTTTGGGAGAATAGTGTGCTTGACATTAAGGTTAGATATAGCCTGAAAGATGCAGAGTAGCACAGGACAGTTTTCTGGCAGTGTGGACTATTGAGAGACTGGGAGGGAAGCCTTTAGAAAGGACAGGTAATTATTTGCAAATCTGCCTCGGTAATGTGGAATCGACTGTGTGACCTTTTTATTCTCTGATTAGAATAAAATCAGTTCCTTTTTTCTTGATGTTTGTCTTTTCCAGATTGTCAAAAGAGTGGGAAATAGTGAGGAAATGCCAATGATTGGAGACAAAGTTTATGTCCATTACAAAGGAAAATTGTCAAATGGAAAGAAATTTGATTCCAGTCATGATAGAAATGAACCATTTGTCTTTAGTCTTGGCAAAGGTAAGACGGTGTTTCTTGAGTTGTGTTTTGCTTAAACTTCTTGCTATTTATATTATATAGGAGCTAGGCGATTTTTAGAGGGGGTCTGTAATGTCAAAATTATTTTCATAATAATACCAAGATATTGTTCAGCTTTTTACTGTGTTGACATTTGCACTGATGGTATAAAAGCCACAGTGGTAAAAACTGCTGGTGCCCTTAGCATAGATCTAGGCTATGGCACCAAACTATATGAGTGATCATATATTCTTCGATGCCCTTGTTCACTGTTTATATAAGAAAAAGAATCGGGGCACCTAGCTGGCTCAGTCAGTTAAGCGTCCAGCTTCAGCTCAGGGCATGATCTTGTGGTTTGCGAGTTCAAGCCCCGCATCGGGCTCTGTGCTGACAGCTCAGAGCCTGGAGCCTGCTTCTGATTCCGTGTCTCCCTCTCTTTCTGCCCCTCCCCTGCTCGTGCGCTGTCCACTTCTCTCTCAAAAATAAAAATAAACATTGAAAAAAAAATTTTTAATAAAAGAAGGGAAGCCCGGTTCACGTAATGTCCTTGGTACAATGTAAAAAATACCAATTGTATGAAATCCTAATCCCTGACTTTGGAATTGTTCTGTTCTGTTTTGTGACAGACAGGGAAGGGCTCAGGGCACACTTCTGTACCCGAGGCCAGTGATTGTTTCTTGGGAAAGCACTCATGCACTTAACTTGAGTGAACAATGGAGCTAGATGCAATTTTTTCATGAAAGGGCAAACTGTTATTATTCAGATTTGACTATTCAGTATTTGGCAGATACTTTCTTAAAAATGAATGAAGTGAGCCTGTCACTTCAAGGAAAACAGCGGACAGTATTTGTAACCATTGAGTTTTCAAATGAAAACTCCAGTTTTCGGAAGTCTTTATCTGCCACTGTGACCATGACACCTTCCCCAAACTTAAAAGACTTCTGATGAGATCACAAAGAAACTATGGCTACAGACAGAATGGAAAATAAAAATAGGCATGAAGAATTAAAAAATGCAATAAATGAGATACATAATAAATTAGAGGCCTCCAATGCACGGATTGAAGAGGCAGAAAGGAGAATAAGTGATTTAGAAGACACCATTATAGAAAAACAAGAAGCTGACACAAAAAGAGACAAACTGATCCAGGAACAGGAAAGACGAATTCGAGAGCTCAGCGATACGGTGAAACGCAACAATATCCGCATCATAGGAATCCCAGAAGAGGAAGAGAGAGGGAAAGGTGCTGAAGGAGTCCTGGAACAACTTATAGCAGAGAACTTCCCCGACCTGGGGAAGGAAGTAAATGTGGAAATACAAGAGGCTCAGAGGACTCCCCTCAGACGTAACTTGAATCGATCTTCTGCATGACATATCATAGTAAAAATGGCAAAGACTTCTGATGAGATCAATATATGCTCATGAATGTGGTTTTTAAAATATCATCTGGTGAAATGTGTTAATGTTTGGAAGATCTGTGTAACTCAGTGAACCAATATTTTCCCAATACAAGATGTTACAAAATCATGTGTGACTAAAAGACTCAATTGGTGTGCAGGCTAGATCAGTGGATTTTAATGTAACGTGATGTTAATAAAAAGTTCATTGATCTGCCGTCAGATTCCACATTGCAACTAACCTGGGCGTTAGGAAGCCAGGCTCCTGTCTGCACTCTTTCCTGTGTCGTGTTAACATGAATAGGCCACCTGACCAGCCTTCCCCACTCCTCTAAAAAGGAGGCATCTGGAGAAAAGCATGAAGATTAATTCTGGCTGTGATTCCATTCCCGTACCTTCTGTAAAGAGTACAGGAACAAGAACCTTAATGGTTTGGGGCCATATTTTGGACTAAAATAAAGCAAGAAACATTGGTTAGGCAGTTTATAGTTTTTTGTGGTTTTTTTTTTAATGCATATTTTTGAGACAGTGGGCACACGTGCATGGGGGAGGGGCAGAGAGTGAGGGAGACACAGGATCCGAAGCAGGCTCCAGGCTCTCAGCTATCAGCACCGAGCCCGACGTGAGGCTCAAACCCACAAACCATGAGATCATGACCTGAGCCAAAGTCGGACGCTTACCCAACCGAGCCATCCAGGTGCCCCTGGCTTGCCTTTTCACTTTAATTGGTCTTTAAAGGAACAGAGGTTTTTAATTTTGATGAAGTCCACTTTACTGAATTTTTTTATGGCTTACCTACTATAATTGACCAGCTTTGTTTTCATTTGGTTTGGGGTTTTTTTTGTTTGTTTACGTATGAGGAAACTAAGATACAGAGAGAGGAAGTTATTAGCCCATGGTTATACAACAAAGTGGTAGGGCCAGGATTCACACCCAAGCAGTTTCTTTCAATTCAAGGTGTATGGATCTTAAGATTTAAAACTAACTCAAACCAGGTACAAAAACAAAATACGTCCTGGTCCAGCAGAATTTACTGAGTGCCTGCTGTACACCAGACAGACACTTTTCTTACAGAAGTGCTATAGTTACAGAGGTTTCTCAAAAGCAGAATTTTTTCAGGACACCTGGGTGGCTTAGTTGGTTAAGTCTCACTCTTAGATTTGCTCAGGTCATGATCTCACGGTTCTTGGGTTTGAGCCCCGCGTCGGCTCTGCACTCACAGTGCAGAGACTGCTTGGGATCCTCTGGTTCCCTCTCTCTTTGCCCCTCCCGGCTTGTGCTCTCTTTCTTTCTCTCAAACAATTTTTTTTTTTTTTTAAAAAGCAAATTTTTTGTTATTACCTGCTTGATATTATGGGATGAATTCCTGTTTTCAAAGTTTGGTGTGTTTGTTTTTACTTTTTTTTTTTATTTTTATTTATTTTTGAGAGACAGAGAGATTAGGAGCAGGGGAAGGACAGAGAAGGAGACACAGAATCTGAAGCAAGCTCCAGGCTCTGAGCTGTCAGCACAGAGCCCGACGCGGGGCTCGAACCTACGGACTGTGAGATCATGACCTGTGCTGAAGTCGGCCACCCCACCGAGCCACCCAGGCGCCCCTGTTTTGTGTGTGTGTGTGTGTGTGTGTGTGTGTGTGTGTGTGTTTAAGTTGAAGTGGTTTTTTCATGCACTTTTAAGTCTTGACAACATCTTACAACTAGTGAAGTACTACTAGTAATGGGTAACCACGTAGCCAACTTCCTGTGGGTTGTTTGTGGTTTAACCATGTGCTCCCTTTAAATTTCTATTGATGCTTTTGCTCCCACTTAAATATATCCTTAACATCTGGGCTTTTGTTTGTTTGTTTTACGTGCAGTTTAGTAGTATTCAGGATTTGGAATGAAGGCTTTTAGGCCAAAATATTTAATTTTTCTAACCCTATCCAAACGTGTGAGCCAGAAAGACAGCAAACTTTGAGAAAGTACTTTCTTTGGCTTTAGCTGGTACTTTGCAATAGAGGAGAAATGCTTTTGATTTCCATTTGTATGTTGATATTAGGGAGAAGCCCATTGAGGCAGGGTGAGAGTAAACTGGGAAGCTAACAAATTTCTAACTCCATTTATGTAAGAATTATAGCATGGACTCTTGTTTCGTTGAGTATAATGTTATGGTATTATACTTTATAATTCTTTGGGAAATAGAAAATAATCAAGACATGACTCCTGCCTTCAAGTATCTAACAGTTTAGTGTGGCAGAGTTGATATTAGTCCTTAACGAGGCTGTCCCAGGACAGATTATTCTACCATATCTATTTTTTCTCTCTTGTTTTAAAAGTTATGAAGCCGTGAGAATGGGGAGATACTCTCCTGTGATCAGTTTTCTTAGTAATTAAATAGAGAACTGGCAAAAATGAACGTAACAGAAGACACGATCACCTTAGAAGAATCTTAAAATGGAAATTTATTTGTTCAATTCATAATCAGATACTTTTGGTAGGGAGTAGAGAGAGGATTATCAGGCCCTTTTGTAAGACATTTTGAAATAGCACTGAAACAGTTCGTAAGAGGGAAAAGTACACAATAAAAACTAATTTGCTTTATCGAGTATAAAAAGAAGACATTGACCATATCATAACCTGAAATTTTCTTTCTTTAATAGAAAATATTGCAAAATAGAGTTAAAATAGCAGAAATTGGTACTCAGTCCTGGAAATCCTTCAATGAATATAAAGCAGGAATAAATCAGATGTGTGTTTTTAATTATCTGAAACTTATTAGTGATAATGCTTATATTTAAGAGAGTATCAACTCTTCTGTTTTGAAAGGAAACCCTTTTACAATGAAAATATTTTATCTTTTTTTGTCCTCCTCTGTTTCCACATTAAAAAGTGTTTTTCTGTATAATTCCATATATCTTTCATCCTATAGTATTTCAGATATTCTCATATTTCAAATGCACACATATATTTAAAAATTGTATAGTCAATCATTTTCATCAAGGGTGAATAGAGAAAGTCAGTAGAGTCAATAGGGAAAGTCAGTAGAGAAAGAGCCGTCTTTTCAGTGGGGCGTCTGGATGGCTCAGTCAGTTAAGCGTCTGACTCTGGACCTCAGCTCAGGTCATGATCTCCCAGTTGGTGAGTTCGAGGCCCACGTCAGGCTTTGTGCTGACAATGTGGAGCCTGCTTGGGATTCTCTGTCTCCCTCTTGGTGCCCCTCCCCCGCTCTCTCTCAAAATAAACATTTAAAAATTATAAAAAAAAAAAAAGAGTAGTCTTTTCAACAGATGATGTTGGGAAAGCTGGACATTCACATGCAAAATAGTGAAGGTTGTGCCCTTCACACGATATACACAAATTAATTAAAAAATGAATCACAGACTAAACATAACACCTAAAATTATATTTTCTTAGAAAAAAACTTAGAGAAAAAACTCTGTGACATTGTATTTGACAATGATTTTTTTGGATATGACACCACAGGGAACAGGCAAGAGAGTAAAAAATATATATTTGGACTACATCAAAATTAAAAGCTATGCATCAAAAGATACAATAACAGTGAGAAGGCAGACTATGGAATGGGAGACTGTTTGCAAATATCTGACCCCTTGTCATTATAATGAAC